CATTAAAAGGGTTAGGTTCATGGTAAATGTAGTTAGGATAAGTGAACAGTAACATAATCTTGCGGATAGGACGTAGAGTCTTGCCCATAATAATAATAATAATGTAAAAAAAAAAGTGTAAACCTGTAATTACGTGCAAAGCCAACAACTTCGGCTATTTTTAATTGCATTTTTATGGGCATTATAAAAATTAAATGGGCCCTTCTTGTCGTTTGGCTTAAACAAGTAGTTAAACATATAGCTGAGCATAAGGAATTCAGCTTAGCACCTCTTCAATTGAATTATACTCTTGTTCTGGATACTCACCTTAGGCCTACCAGTTGGGTCCAATCTCTTAAAGCCTACATCTAAAACCTTCTAGAGGGCACCCATTGCAAGCCATAGAGGCTCACCACTGGGACATTCCTCATTCCCTGCATTGCTGCCCCTATACACGGACAGAGGGCAGCATGCCTTGTCTGAAGACAAGACATGGGTTGATGAGATAGCTTGTGGGACTGACCAATTCTCTCCCCCATGCTGGATAGGGCTCTCCTCTCTAAATACCCCCTCACACATGGAGGAGGTATCTTCTCTTCTATTCTCAACCTATGTTGTTACTCTGTTCCTCTGCAAAGCCATATTTTCCACACACACACACACACCCTTTTATGCAAACTATGGGAAGCCTCTACAGTGCTTTGGTCTCTACAATTGTCACTATGAGCACCCCTATATTAACATATTTTATCCTCCGTGGGACACATCAATGTACCACCAACAGTACATTGGCACTGTCTGTGGGAAACAACAAACTCCGATTCCTTTCTCTCTACTAAAGCTACTGAACGACAAAGACAACCTTCTCCGTTCAGCCTATGAGAAATAGTTCTACACAAAGAACTTCTCATCCATCCATTCATCTACCAACGACCCTGCTGCTTGCTTTTTCAAATGATCTCAAACCCACATCAACAAGAAGAAAATCAGAGTGAAACCAGAAAGTTTCAGAAAATTAGAATACTAGAAATCTACGCAAAAGAAGAAAAGAATGCCAAAAGCCAGATCTACACAAAAGAAGAAAACGAAAACCAGACAAGAAGGGAAAGAACCAGAACCAGAACGAAAAGATCAGAAAACTAAAAGAAAATCAGTACCAACCACGTCAGACCACTAACCATTGTAGCTTAAATACAATTTACCCGGTCAACTACACACGATTTAGTCTGAACTCTGATGAAGGAACCAAACCGCTCCTGGACAATAAAGGAAAATTTCGACTCAAGGCGCTACCCCTTTCAACCATCATCCTATCATCTTCAGCCGAGCATCACTAAGAAGCAAAATGAAGGAAGGAAATGAATCGCCAACCATTATTTTCACCGAGGAAGCATGGCGTGTAACTAACAATGCCATCCTCCTTGTTAACTGACCAGAATCAAAAACAAAATCGCGAAACGCAGACAAGCAAACGTCCTATTCATCCTTTCCCGACCATAAATCAGCTCCGATTATAGGCTATTTGTCGGTCGTCCTATTCACCGGTCAGTGAAGCTTACGTATTTTGCTAATCGCCCTGTTCCACAAGAATAACAGCGACCCAAAGCACCTTCTCCAGCCACCCGTCAAACATCTACCTCCCATCATGACCAGTCGTCTACTCTATCGTGTCAAGAATCAATCCAACATCCTATCTGCATCACCCCTGGCAACAACCCCTTCCAAACCAGAGAAAAAAAACCAGTGTATAAGGCCCCACTAGCCAGAAAACTACCAACACGTACCTCACTATCAAGTCGGGTGTACAAGGTCTCACCGGCCAGAAAACTACCAACATGTACCTCACTATCAAGTCGAGCAATCATTTTTGCTTGCCGATCAACCTCCACGCTCGCCAAAGCCTCCACGAACATAAAATCTCCTTGTCGGCTCCCAAGTTATCCTGTCGGTAAAAGATGGAGTCGTTGCAGTCGCACCATCCAAAGAAGACCCAATCTGAACAATTCAACCAAGAAAATACCAACTGGCTAGCATGTTGTTAACTCTCCCAAATGAGAGTTAATTTGGTATTTTTATGATAAATTTGCTGCATAAATTTCATATAAGTTGTCTTGTTTGCATGATAATTGAGTTAATTGGTGTATATTTATGATTAAGTGCTTTGAGATGACTAAGCATGGAAAATGAGACAATATTCCTTGATTTTGTGTAAGAAAAGATGACGTGTTGAGTGTTTGTCTTTGCAGGAAAAGTTGACATCAGAATGTTGTAGCAAAGAAGCTGACGAAGTAATGATATAGTAATCACTACAGCATGACAGCGTGGACAAGGGAACAATAGAATTTCAAAATTCAAAAGTTAGTTATTCCCCAATAAATGGATAAAACACCAGCAATCAAGGATCAAGGACGATTTCAAAGATTAACTCTTATCCTAAAATCGCAAGAAACAAGGACAACAAACTCGTATTTAGTCAACAACAATATTGGCACAAGAAATTCAAGAAGATCAAGATCTTATCCAATCAAGTGCCAACAACCCAAGAAAATAGGGATAAGATAAGGCTGCAGCAACACGATTCATGGAATCTCACTCCCAAACCTAAGACCTAATTATCCAACCACTTTTTCTATTTAAAGAAGAGTACTCCACGGATTAAAGCAGTAGGTTCAGGGAGAAACGAGGTTAGACGAAGTTAGAAAGAGGCCGAGAAGTCAAAAGGGACATTTTAGAGAGAGAAAGTAAGATTCTTGGAGGAGGAAGAGCTGCTGGAGCAAGACCGTAACAAAGTTTTACAACAACATTCGTTTTCATCTTCTTTACTGTTTTCCAATGAGTTCTCTCTTCCTCTTCTCTGTTTTATTTAATTCCATTATGAGCTAATTTGCTCTATAGGTTAGGTAATAAAGTACCTGTGCTGTAACATTGAGATATATGCCTAAACTTTGTTTTTATTAATGTTTAATTAGTTTTTCAACGAGTTTGCTTATTCTTATTCATGTATGCATGTCGAGAGATACATATGTGATATTGAGGAGGTTAGGGCCAAGAGGTTTCCGAATCCAGACCCTTGTTGAATTGTGTGGATTAATTAGGTTAAGAAATTTAATTTGATTAAGTTGTGGGTAGAGATATCATTCACACCACATAACCTTTGAACTTGAACTTTAACAATTCAGTAATTAATTTGGCCATAGAGATGTGAGAATTAGTTATTGGGTATATATGTTAGGTTGGCCAAAAGCCCCAACATACTTTAGTGTTCGGTTACAAATTAAGCATTGATATATCATCGTTAAAGCATTATTTCAGTATTGTTGTATCAAGAAAATTGAACCTGACCTATATCTCATCCATCATCTTAATATCTTTGAAATTAATTTATTGTTTTCTTATTTTTTATTTATCTTTTATTTTATAAATCCAACAATCAAAATCAATCTTTTTTCCTATTTTCTTTACTTGAATAGTTCACACTTTATACTTATCTTCGTGGGAACGATACTTGGACCTCACACATCCTTTTATTACTTGTGACACGTGCACTTGCGTATTTGTGTGGTAGATTTAATTGATTACAAATTGCACAACAAGTTTTTGGCGTCGTTGCCGGGGATAATTTATAAAGTTTGTTTTTATTTTAGTGAAGAAATTTTATTTCTTTTATATTTTTTTACCCTTCTCCTTACTGTTTTCAAGGTGTTAATTGCAGCGTATGAGCAGTTCTTCATCTGAGCAAGAAGCAGATTTTGCTCCTGAGATTGAAAGAACGTTTCGAGCAAGAAGGAGACAACAAAGACGTAGCAATCCTACAGCAACACCTGACATGGCAGAAAGGCTGAGAAACGGTGAAGATGATGGACCTGGACATAACAATGAAGGTCCAAATCAAGTTGAGTTGAGATTCCAATCAGAGCACATGCAATTCCTACGCAGCTACGCTCAACAATTTACATTCTGGAATTGTTCAACCTGATGTAGCAGTAGAGCACTTTGGGCTGAAGCCAGTGATGTTTAACATGCTGCAGACCATTGGTCAATTCAATGGACTGCCTAGTGAAGACCCTCACCTTCACCTCAAGAATTTTATGGATGTAGCAGACACTTTCAAGATTAGAGGAGTTACACCTGATGCTCTAAAGCTGAAGTTGTTCCCATATTCCCTCACCAGAAAAGCTAAAGCATGGTTGAATTCTTTACAACCACAGTCAATCTGAAGTTGGGAGTTGGCGGACAAGTTTTTATTGAAGTTCTTTCCTCCCATGAAGGCAGCCCAATACAGGAATGACATTTCAACCTTCAAGCAATTGCAAGAAGAGTCATTTTATGAGGCTTGGGAGAAATTCAAAGATTTGTTGAGGAAGTGCCCAAACCATGGCATTCCCGAATGGATTCAAATGTAGACATTCTACAATGGGCTTAATGGACCAACAAAGAGCATGGTTGATGCATCATCTGGAGGAGCCTTTTTAGAAAAGACATATACATAAGCATATGCAATATTGGAGAGGATGGCAGTCAACAATTATTAGTGGCCTGTAGAAAGATCAAGTTCAACACCAAAGAAGGCTGCTGGAGTTTTGGAACTCGATGTTGTAACAACACTGTCAACACATATTTCAGCTTTGAACAACTCTATTAAGACGTTGAATCTATCTACTGAAGCTAAAGCACAACCAGTCAATGCCATAACTGATGCTATATCATGTGTTTTCTGTAATGGTCCTCATGTTTATGATAATTGTCCATAAAACCCTCAATCTATTTGTTTTATAGGTAATTACAACAGGAGCAACAATCCATATTCAAATACCTACAATCCCAGATGGAGGAATCACCCAAATCTTTCCTATTCTCAATGACAGCATCTTGGACAATAACAAGGACAACAACAAATGTCCTCAGATACAACATGAAGGTCATATAAAGCTCCATACCCTCCTGGATTCACGCAGCAGCAGCAACAGCCTAGACAGGAAGTTGATACATCAAGTACGCTGAAGAGCATGCTGAAAGATTACATGACAAGGAGTGATGCTATGATTCATAAGCAAGCTGCATCAATCAAGATTTTGGAGACCCAAGTAGGTCAATTGGCAGAAGCACATAGAAGCAAACCTCAAGGAGCCTTGCCAAGCAACACTGAAGTCCCAAAGAAGAATGGAGAAGAACAGGTCAATGCTATATCATTACGGAGTGGTAAAGCCATAGATGAACCAGAAGTCATAAAGAACTACCATGAGCAGAAGCAGAAAGCATTGAATCAGAATAAAGAAGATAAAGTTGCTGAAGAGGTGGAAAATCATGATCAACCCAAAGAACCCCAAGTTGCTGGCACTGAGAATATTGCTATCGCAAAACCATAGCAAGGTCAGACTGTCAGCAAAGCAACAAGACCGCCACCCCCATTTCCTCAAAGATTGCAGAAGCAAACTGATGACAAGCAGTACAAGAAGTTCCTTGATGTTTTAAAATAGTTGTATATCAACGTACCCTTGGTTGAAGCTCTTGAGCAAATTCCAAGTTATGCAAAATTCATGAAAGACATCTTGGCAAAGAAGAGGAGGCTGGAGGAATATAAGACAATAGCTCTCACCCAAGAAAGTAGTCAATACTACCTCAACAAGTTACCACCAAAGCTAAAAGATCGAGGGAGTTTCACTATTCCTTGTACTATTGGTAACCAATATGTAGGTAATGCATTATTAAATTTAGGTTCCAAGTATTAACCTTATGCCTAAAAGTATTTTCAGGAAGCTTGAAATAGGAGAAGCACGTCCAACCACTGTCACGTTATTGATGGTTGATAGATCATTGACTTATCCAGAAGGAAAATTTGAAGATGTGTTGGTAAGAGTGGATAAGTTCATTTTTCCTGCTGACTTTATTGTTCTTGACTTTGAAGCAGATAGGGAAGTGCCCATCATTTTGGGAAGAGCATTCTTAGCCACCGGATGAGCAGTGATTGATGTGGAAAAAGGAGATTTGACTATGCGAGTCAATGATGAGCAAGTTACATTCAATGTACTCAAAGCCATGAAGTATCCTGAACAAGTGGAAGAATGCGCTAGCATGGACACTATTGATGTAGTTCTGCTACAACAACTTAAGCAGCAAACAGAGACAGAACCACTGAATGTTGCTATAGCAGAAGAATGTGCAGAAGATGAAGAGGAAATGAAAGAGTGCCTTGCATGGATGGAGTCCTAACCAATAAGGCCATACAAAGAGAGACACTGTGAGTCTCTTGGAGAAAGAGTGATAAAGACACTCAAGCCATCTATAGAAGAACCTCTAATCCTTGAGCTCAAACCACTGCCCCAGCATCTTAAAGATGCATATTTAGGAGATGAAAATACTTTACCTATTATTATTTCATCTTTTCTCTCTGATGCAGAAACGAAGCAGTTGCTTCAAGTACTAAAGGAACATAAAATAGCCCTCAGATGGAGCATTGTAGACATAAAAGGAAGTAGCCATACATTCTGCACACATAAAATATTGATGCAGGAAGGCTACAACAGCACTGTGCAACCTCAAAGAAGGCTGAATCCTATGATGAAGGAAGTTGTCAAGAAAGAAGTGATTAAATGGCTTGATGCAGCGGTAATATACCCCATTTCAGATAGCCAATGGATAAGTCTTGTGCAATGTATGCCAAAGAAAGGAGGAATCACAGTTGTGAAGAATGACAAAAATGAGCTTATACAACAAGGATTGTGACCGGATGGAGAATATGCCAGGATTATAGGAAGCTAAATGATGCTACAAGAAAGGACCACTTCCCCTTGCCATTCATTGACCAAATGTTGGATAGACTTGCAGGGAAGCAGTTCTATTGCTTTTTAGATGGATATTTGGGCTACAACCAGATTGCCGTAGCACCAGAAGATCAAGACAAAACCACATTTACTTGCCTGTATGGAACCTTTTCCTTTAGAAGGATGCCATTTGGATTATGCAACGCACCAGCCACCTTCCAAAAATGTGTGATGGCAATATTCACATATATGGTAGAAAATTTGGTGGAGATATTCATGGATGATTTCTCAGTTTTTGGAGAATCATTTGAGTCTTGTCTTGAGAATTTATCAAAAGTACTCAAGAGATATGAAGAGACTAACCTAGTGCTGAATTGGGAGAAATGTCATTTCATGGTCAAAGAAGGTATAGTCTTGGGTCACAAAGTATCAAAGGATGGACTAGAAGTTGATAGAGCAAAGATATCCGTGATTGAGAAGCTGCCTATAC